ATGGTGATTGGGAGTTTCTTCCCAGTGGAAAGGGAAAAAGAGCTAAGAGAGACATCAGCTGAGATCCTAGGATCTTTGGTGAATGTAAAGTCAAGGCCGAAGCCTGGCAGGAACTTAGGGGTTGCAGAAGCGGTTTAGCTCACATCCTCATCTTCTCTGAGTCTAACAGAATCGCAGACTGACTGACTATGTGTTGGAGCTCACCGGGCACGCCCGCACCGGCACAGGCTCTCCACACGGGCCGGAATCAGAAGGTTTTTGCAGAAGACTTAGCAGAAGAAAAACAACATGGGCGGAACTGTGCGTGAGCCTTTTAAGGCCTGTGAAGATTCAAGCCTCTCAGGATGGACTCGTTCAATGAGAAAGGCTGAAATTCCAAGCGGGAGGTTGGAAATACTGGGGAGTTTTATGACCCTTTGTGTGAGAGCATGGTGGTTTGCATATGGAACTCGATTGGGTGTTGATGCAAAATTACTAAAGATTCTTAGAACACTAATATATTGCCTATTTACCAACATATAATATACACTCTCGTTTAGAGCATCAGAAGACAAATTCAAAGAGACCAAACATGGTATCGGTGGGGTTACATTAATTAGTGATCTATCATAACACACACACAAGTAATGGTATACACAATGTCCTGAGGATATGTGTGTTCATTCACAGAAAGGTTTTTCTATGAATTAATGAGAAGAGTCCATTTTTATGGGCATTGTGTGCCTTTCCTAAGGGTAAATGAATTGGGAGTTTCTCTGCCCGCATTCCTTTGGGCAATAAAACCAGTGATATCAGCATTGGTTGCCATGGAACCAGAGGCCTGTTCTGCTTTTCTGAGGTGTTAGATGCATTTCGGGAGAAGGGTCCATAGACCCTCATAGTTGGTTTGTTGACTGAGGGGTGCTACAGAGTATTTGTTAAATATAACTAAAACAATTGTGTGTCTGATTGGTCCAGACGCTACAAAAGTTAGTAGAGACAAATCCCAACAGTCTAAAGGCTATTTTTTCTGACATGTTGGTGTTATATCATTCACTTGGATGTTATAAGTTGCACTGAGTAAATACAGCTGGATAAAACAAAAACCGTGTCCGTCTTCATTTCAGGCTGCAAAGCAACAAAATGTGATTATTTCAAAGGGGGGTGATTATTTTCTGTACCCACTGTACATGTAGATGTTACAAAATGAAATCCGACACAGGGTTTTTATGTGTTTCTTGTTGTTTCAGGTCGCAGGGTAGTGGACTACACCTCTCTGAAGTTCCTCATTTCCCAGATACCCTATGTGTCCTGGCTGTCTGTATTCACTCCTTCATTCATCAGAGTGCCTCGTTCCATGCTGATTCTTGGCAGTGGCAAATTCTAACATGTCTTGATGCAGACACTGTGGCTATTTTTGGTAATTCTGTCATTTTTTTTAAATAAATAAAGTGCTTTTAAAATTCTAGTAGAGTCTGGAAGACACATTTCACAATTCATTAGCAGATTATTATTGTCATAACTAATAGAAAAGTTATTTTAAATTGTAATATTTTACAGTATTTTTGATCAAATAAATGCATAAGAGACTTCTTTTAAAAATGTTAAAATCTTACCAACCCTAAACTTTTGAACAATATGGTGACTGTATACAGGGGCGCCGTAACAGGGGGAAGGTTAGGAGAATTCCAAGGGCCCGTGTGTGTTTATAAATATAATGGTAAAGTGGTTTAATTTATTGTTACTGTTGCTAATTAAAAACTATTAAATTAAAAATAAAAAAGACCCCCAGCATATGAGATGTATAAGCCAAAATGTTTGGGCATCAAAAAATAGCTGCAAAAAAATACTTTTCAGAATATTTACTATTTGTATTTACATTTTTATAATACTGACAGTGATCTTCACTGCAAAAAAAAGAACTCACATTGCACAATAGGAAAATATGTGCGTTAGGCACACCCCACCCTCAGCTTGTTGATAACATGGTAGTTTTGAGTGAGGCAAATGTCAATGACATGGTCACTTTTATTTGCAATGCAAATTCATCGACAGTTAACCAAAAACTTGTTTCCAAAAATGAAAGAAAATGCAGAAACTGCCAATGACACTGAAATCTGAAATATTTTATCATTTTGAGATGAAATACTACTCAATGTTGGTTTTATATCAAATATTTTAATTGATATTAAAATGTTTAAAGGGGTCATATGATGTTGCTAAAAAGAACATTATTTTGTGTATTTGGTGTAATGAAATGTGTTTATGCGGTTTAAAGTTCAAAAAACATTATTTTCCACATACTGTACATTCTATGCCCCGCCTTTCTGAAACGTGTCGATTTTTACAAAGCTCATCGGTCTGAAAAGCGAGGTGTGCTCTGATTGGCCAGCTATCTAATGCGGTGTGATTGGCCGAATACCTCAAGCGTGTGACGGAAATGTTACGCCCCTACCATACTGTGATGCCCTGTCCGGCCGGAGCGACGATTCAAAAACATTAAAACCCATTATAAACTAGGCATTTGTTGCATCCAGTGGGGACATAATTATGGATTATAATGACTTATACTGTCTTTTTACGTGTTGCGTTGCATCGCACCGTGAAAACATAAAACCATGTCTGCATTTGTGATCGGAGAAATGACAAACAAGCGCTACTCTTCACTGCTCAAAACTTGCGTTTGAATCATCAGTGGCAAATCCTTTTAATGAAAACATACTTACAGACTGTGAGTCAGAACAGCCGGCATTGTAGTCTACTCTCCCAGGATCAGGAAACAGTCCTCCATAAAATGTGCTGCACACATCTGAATATTTGGGTTGAACTGTTCTGGAACAGTGTTGTAAATACAACTTAACCACTGATTTCTAGTCGCGTCCTCTTTTGGAAGACCAAACAAAGTAGTTTTGCTTTCGCAACAAAACACACGGCGGGCTAGAATGAGTGGAGGGCGGCGGCTAGAGTGAGCGGTGACGGGCAGGCTTGAGAACGACGCGGCTGGCGGATTCGATGAAGTGACGACCCCGGGCTGGACTCCACTTCATCCATAGTGAAAGCCAATCCGGCGATCCACAGTGCGAATTTGATGTATTTCCTCAGCGACCAGCACGGATCAGCTCCATGCATGACGAAGCGGATATCGTCCTCTTTTGGAAGGCCAATCAAAGTAGTTTCGCTTTCACAACGAAACACAGCGCCTTCACGACATGGCAGCGGCGGCAACAACAATACTACAGCGAGAATAAAAGTTATGCCTTCTTTCTTTGCGTGAACATTTGGGCGGCGTTATGCAAATCTTCCCACATCATGACGTAGACGTGGGGGCGTGTTAGAACGAGCCGTTTTAGGTAGGCGGGGCTGACTCTTAACTTTTATAAAGAATATCTCTTTGGATTTGAGACTTTAGTCTTTGCAACTTTACAGATCTTCTTTATGCACCAAGAGCTTGTAACACTCCAAAGAGAGAGGAAAAATTTTAATTGCATCATATGACACCTTTAATATTTCATGACATCAAAGCATTCACAATCTGGTATCATTAGGGTTGCAATAAATTTTTTTAAATGTCGTTCTGATCATGCAAGTCACCAATGTTTTGAGTATCAGCTACTGATGATAATGTAAAAGGCTTTCTTGGCTTTAAAAATAAACTTTGTGTTTAAGGTTTGGCTATAAAAGGCTATTAATAAATAGCTTCTTCTAAGCTCATAAACTGATTATTTGGTATATACTGTAACAACAAGATATATGACAGTGAGGCCTCTGCCAGTACATTCACTCAAATGATGATGCTTGGCACTGAACAGACCAATTAACATCTCTAAACATAGTTTTTTTTTTTTACTGCAATTAAACCTAACCTTTTTTTATTAAGGTTTTGTTAGGGAAACACGCAGTACATTGATTAGCTTAATATACAACCATGTGTACTGTGCACCTTAAAAACAGCAAGAAGGGATTACTGGGAGACTATATGATGCTACAAACTATTAAAAATGGAAATGCCAGTGGCCATTACGTATGGTGGCATGTTTTTGACTTTGGTTTTTAATTCTGTAATGATGGTCACATGCAAACAGCGGTGACTCTGCAGAGAGGTATCAAAATAGATTTAGCACAAAGGTTATCTGGACGGATGAATGGCAAACTACACAATATGTTATTGGTGGCCAAGGTCCTTTGGTGTCCAAGTGACCCACAATCATAAACCCAAGCTCTGCTGGGTAAATGTAGTGACTAAACAATTCAGTAATTACCACTATTCGTGGAGTGATGTTGCTGTAGGGCCATGTTATCATTTTAATGCAATGAAATGACCATTGTCATCAGATACATAATCCGCTGTCGAGGAGAACTGTTTTTTATTTTTATTTTTTGCTGTGTTCTCATCCTGATCACCAGCTGCATCTGAATATGCCCACTTCTCTACTACACAGTATGCAAAAAGCAGTACGCCAGAACAGTAGCATGTCTGAATATAGTATTTGAAAAACAGTAGGCGAAAAGTACCTGGATCACTCCTACCACTTTTAATGGTTCTTGGTCAAAAGCAGTACCTACTCTGGCTGTGTGCGATTACGGACACAGCTCCTCTCTCTTTGCCTCTTAATAAAAATAGAAAAAGTACCTGAAAAGAAAAGGACCACTGAGAAATGCCTACATATAGGGAACAACTGAATCATATTGTGTGGCTATGGTTAGGCTATTCCTTGAATAGTCTGTATAAACACTGCAGATCCTCACTCATGGTAACAGTTTAGTCTATTAAAACAGCAACATATTTGGCAGAACAGAGGAAGAGTTAACCTCTTACCTTGCTGAAAACCAAAATGTTTTAACAGGGTAATGGATTTCCTGCTCAAACTGCATTTGTGTACACGTGTTCATTGGGTGGGTGATTTTATGTTTTTAAATACGCTTTAAAAGCATTGTTTACATTTGCAAAAAGCATTGGCTTTATATTAGACGTATTACGGGAGTGGGAGGACGGCTATAAACATGACTGTTTTATCTGCACGTTATGTGCTAGTTTATTTCACCACACTTTGCCTGTTGTTGGAGATTTCAAGAGTTCCTTAGAGACAATTACCATTCATCGGAGGTTTGACAGCAGAACAGGTATGTGTTGCGTTTACATTAATACAACATGTAAATGACTGTCGCAAGTAAGTCATTACAGCAATAATATCTTCTATCCATCACATTAAACAAATACTAAACAAGCCGATTGTGTCACACGAGAGGCACAAGTTATTCAGCTTTACGTTTCCATCTGCACGACGCTTAGGTAAATAATTAATAATTATGATGATGTATAACACTTACTCCGGGCCAATTAAATGTCGTTGTGATGAAGGTTGCAATGGATAAATGTGACCACAGGGTGACGGGCTCTTATTTCTCACTGTTTGACTGTTACTAATTAGGGAGTCATTTCCGCGAATCGGTTCTTTAGGAACAGTTTTAAAGAACCGATTACAAAATGAGTCAGTGGTTCTTTACGCCATTACGTAATTACGTCCTCGCGTGTCTGACGTTCTGGCTTGGCATGTTTTAGCACAGGGCCAGGGGTGCCCAAACTCGGTCCTGGAGGCCCGGTGTCCTGCAGAGTTTAGCTCCAAC